GTCCCTTTGTAACCTAGAACAGCCCTCTGCACTGTCCACAACTCAACCCACCTTTGTATCATCCATGAACTTGCTAATCCACCCTTCCACTCCTTCATCCAAATCATTTACAAAAATCACAAATAGAAGAGGACCCAGAACAGATCCTTGTGGTACACCACTCATAACTGAGCACCATGTTGAATATTTTCCGTCCACTACCATCCTTTGCCTTCTAAGGGTCAGAAAATTCTGAATCCAATCTGCCACATTTCCCCCTATCCCATGCCTCCTTACCTTCTGCATGAGCCTACCATGGGGAACCTTATCAAATGCCTTACTTAAATCCATGTATACCACATCCACTGCTCTACCTTCATCCATGTGTTTGGTCACCTCTTCAAAGAATTCAATAAGGTTTGTGAGGCATGATCTACCCCTCACAAATCCATGCTGACTATCACGAATCAAACTGTGCCTTTCCAAGCGATCATAAATCCTATCTCTTAGAGCCCTTTCCAATAATTTGCCCACCACTGATGTAAGACTAACTGGCCTGTAATTTCCGGGGTTATCCCTATTCCCTTTTTTGAAATAGGGACTGATGTTTGCCTCTCTCCAATCTTCCGGCACTATATCCGTGGACAGTGAGGACAAAAAGATCATCGCCAAAGGCCCTGCAATCTCTTCCCTTGCTTCCCATAGAATCCTTGGATAAATCCCATCAGGCCCGGGGGACTTATCTATCTTCAAGTTCCTGAAAATTCCTAGTACATCTTCCTGACTAACATTGACCTTCTCTGGCCTACCAGCCTGTTTCACACTGTCCTCCTCTACAACTAGGTCCCTCTCAGTTGTGAATACCGCAGAAAAGTATTCACTAAGGACCTCTCCTATCTCTTTAGGCTCTGCGCACAAATTCCCTTTACCCATTCCCTATTGAAACTTGAAGATACTGCACACTTTTACCACTGTGCTTCCGAGATGAAGGGAGTACAATTTGAAGATGGTGGATGGAATGCCAGTCAAGTGGGCTGCTTTGTTTTGTATAGTTTCAAGCTTCATGAGTGTTGATAGAGCTCCACTCATTCAGGCGACTGGAGAGCGTTTCATCGTATTCCTGACTGGTGCTTTATGAGTAGTGGATAGGCAATGGGGAATCAGAAAATAAATTTCTCACCACAGAATTCCAAGCCTCTTGTCTGCTTTTATAGCCACAATATTCAAGTAGCTGGTCCAGTTCAGTTTCTGGTCAATGGTAGTGCCCTGGATGTTGATAATGTGGGATTCAGCAATGATAATACCGTTGAATGCCGAGATGTTTGATTTTTTTTCTTGTTGGAGATTGTCATTGCCTAGTAATTGTGCGATGCCAATGTTACCTGTCAGTTATCAGCCAAAGCCTGGATGTTGCCCAGATCTTATTGCATATGGACAAGGACTACTTCAGTATCTGAGGTAACATAAATATTTCTGAACCTTAATAATAAGTAATAACATAATAATTGACAACATGATAACTGACAAGATCAACAAAATATGTTGGGTGTGATTAAACTGTTCTGCAGTCCGCATTACAGTGCAGCAGTCCAAGGAGAGTGTCCTGCAGTCAATATCATGGTGCAGCAGTCCAGGGAGAGTGTCCTGCAGTCAATATCATGGTGCAGCAGTCCAGGGAGAGTGTCCTGCAGTCAGCATCATGGTGCAGCAGTCCAGGGAGACTGTCCTGCAGTCAGCATCATGGTGCAGCAATCCAGGGAGAGTGTCTTTCAGTCATCACCATGGCTGAACAGACCAGGAAGAGTGTCCTGCAGTTATCACCATAGTTAAGCAGTCATAGAATCATAGAATTCCTACAATGTGGAAGCAGGCCATTTGGCCTATTGAGCCCACACTAATCCTCCAAAGAGAGCATCCCATCCATTCCCCCAACTCCGTCCCTGTATCACTGCATTTCCCACAGCTAATCCACCTCATCCCTGGATACCACTGGGCAATTTAGGATGGCCGATCCACCTAACCTGTACTTCTTTGGACTGGGGGAGGAAACTGCAGTACCAGGAGGAAACCCACACAGACACAGGGAGAATGTGCAAACTCCAAATGGACAGTCTCCCCAGGCTGGAATCAAACCAGGGTCCCTGGCACTGTGAGGCAGTAGTGCTAACCACTGAGCCACTGTACAGTCCAGGGAGAGTCTCCAGCAGTCAGTTCCTGACTAAAAATAACAGTGACATCGCAGAAAGTTTGCAAGTTCTTTGGTTGGTAAGAAACTACTGTTAGGAACTGTCTGTAATTTGCTACAAATTGGAAAAGTACACTAATAAGCACTAAAAATACGTGAAAGTCAGGGTCAATCTAACAAAATAATATAAGTAACTCAAAGTAGGTAAAGAAGAAGTGAAGTCAACATAAGGGAACTAAGTTTAAGACTAAGACAAGAAATGACGAAGGAACTCAGTCCTGTGTGTTCTGCAACCTGCAGTATGTGGGAAGTCTTAGATGCTAAATCAATCTGTATGACCACGTCTGCAGGATGTACTATTGAGTTGATCAGCTTGAACACTGGGTCTTGGAGCTTGAGCATCAACTGGAAGCACAGTCTTGCATTGATTCGACTGAGATAGCACGATTTTTGATGAGGTTGCCCTGCAGCTTAAGAAAGCACAGTCAGAGAGGGAATATGAGTCAGAAGAAGAGCAGTTAGTGGGTATTCAGGGAAAGCCCCAGAGCGCATCTCACAAAGATAAGATTTTCTGTGGTGGGAGACGGTGAGAGGGACAGTTCCTTTTTGGAGTGCAGCCAAAGCCCAGCTGCATAAGGGGGGAGCAGAAAGGGAGAGAGAATAATCTTGGTGGGAGATTCAATAGCGGGGTGTATAGACAGGCATTCCTGCGGCTGCAGATGTGACTCCAGCTGGGGGCATGTCACCTCCCTAGGGCCAGGTTTAAGGACGTCATTGAACAGCCGCAGGCGATCCTGAAGGGGGAGGGTGGACAGTCCGAGGTCGTGGTTCTCATTGGGACTAGTGGTGTAGGTAAAAAGAGGAACTTCATCTCGTAGCAAGAATTTAAGGAGCTAAGTAGCAGATTAAAAACACAACCTCAAAGGTTATATAGTCTTTGGATTAATACTAGTGCCATGTGTTGTGAATACAGGAATAGGTGGATTGAAAAGATGAATGCGTAGTTGAAGAGTAGGAGCAGGAGGGAGGGCTGTGGATTCCTGGATCAAGGGGTTTGTTTTTGGATGGACCGGAAATAACAATTCTAAATCCACATCCGAGCAGGGTCAGACATTCAGCAGGATAATAGCGAGCAAAAACAAAGTTGCTGGAAAAACTCAGCTGGCCTGGCAGCATCTGGGAAGGATAAAACAGAGCTAACGTTTCGGGTCCGGTGACCCTTCCTCAGAACCAACCAGACCCGAAACGTTAACTCTTTTTTTTTCCTTCACAGATGCTGCCAGACCTGCTGAGCTTTTCCAGCAACTTTGTTTTTGTTCCTGATTTACAGCATCCGCAGTTCTTTCGGTTTTTATAGGGTAATAGCGAGAGAGTAGTGCCAGTGTGTTTCCATAGTGGTGCAGGATGGGACCAATAAGTGCTGAGAACCTTGAGTGTCAAGGGATCTAAAGGATTGGATAAGGGGAAGAAATAAAAGCTTATAGCAAAAACTGACAGCTCAATACCGTGGCTGCCGTAGAGAAGTACAGAAAATTAAGTTAGCTATACAGCTGGTTCGCAATGCAGGAAAGGAGTACGGACGCTGCAATCTACCCATCCACATGTTGGCTATGATGGGCAATGCATTCTCACATGACACTAATCTCCAGCCTACCAATTTAGCTAAACATATTTTGTTACACAAACTCCCTGGTCAGCAATCCTCCTTCCGGGACCACATTCATTTTACAGAGAGGATGACAGCAGGTAATTAATCCCCCGTTAGACCTGCGAAAGGGACCCACTCAGTTACAATTGCTCCCAGCATGCGGCTGAGCGCCTCCTAGAGGCAAGAGGAGCCAGGACTGGGAGTTGACTCTGGATCTGGAATGCGCAAGGCTACAACTGTCTGCTGTCCAGCTCATTCATATTGACATCTGATGCAAAAGACTTGACACCTACAATTCAAGCAGCCGCGCTGTTATCTGGCAACGTCAGAACCGTTTAAGAAGCCGCATCTTGTCGGCCCCGCGGTCGAATACAAAAGCTGAAATCGCCAAATGCTCCCTATTCAGTGCATTCACACCATATTTAAACCATCAGTCACCTGGTGTGTGTATGTACACCTATGTAAGATAGAAAACGATAACGGGCAAACAGGTGCTCTCCCTATTTTCAATTTTTAAGCAAGATCCAAACGAGGGCTCTCTCTCTCTCTCTCACACACACACACACACACACACAGAGCCAGGATAATTCCTGCCGGTTTTAGGCAGAGAGGAGAGGTTAAGCTGCTCTAATGTTGCCAGGGATCAGCTGCCAATCTCGAAACCGTGTTCGGCGGAGTTAAAGTTCTGGGCATCAAGCTAGGGACAGTGAATCAGTAACTGGCCGTGAGTGTAACACGGGACTGGGAGCACACTGAAACCAACAAGAACTTGACTTTTTGTTTAAATATTAATCAGGAACTGCAATTTATCACTTGATCATTTTTGCTTTGAGATTTTCCCGTTGTTTTTTTTTAAGAAAAGAGGGCTGATTTATCAATCCTCAGAGAATTCAGTGTGAGGAAAAATCCTCTTCCGAAGAAATTGACGAGCGTCCTGAAACTGACAAGTCTCTCTCTCTCTCTCCTTCTCTTGCCTGGTCCCTGAGCCCCGCAGCTCACATGTGATCACGACACTGCATCAAGGCTTTCCTATCCCTCCTTTAAAGCCATGCAATGAGAACTGGCGCCGGAGTTTAAACACACTGGGAAAGGGGGTGGGAGGGACAGAGAGAGAGAGAGAGGAAAAAAAGATTCTTCCCCGCCCCCCCACCCCTCTCGCAATAACACAACAGCAAATTGTCAGAGGCGATGGATTCCAGGACCAAGCGACCCAGAAATACAATAATGTCAACGTTTGCAAAAACGACCAAAGTTCGCAGGAGGAAAGAGATGTTCCTGTATCAGGTCGGCGTTTCTTGCAGCATTCTCTTCCTGGCGTGGTGTCTGTGCAGCCTGTTATCCAGACTAGGTGAGTGAGAGAGTGCCTTGTCGAAGAATTGAACTTTCCCTCTCAATGCTGTTTTCTTTTGCGTGCGTGTGTGTGTGTGCTAGGAACAGAAACTGGTTCAATCGATTTTGAACGTGATGTCTTTAAATTAAAACTTAAAACTCGCAGTCGCCTTGTGTCGAAGTGTAACACACGGTGATTTAGCCTGAGGCTGCATTGAAATTCTTCGCTGTTACGTTTTTGTATTTCCCTGTGACAGCAGCGGAGACATGAACTCATAACACAAGTTCCATGTGGCCTTCTCCAAATCGATAGGACCTGTAGTTGCCTGATATTTACAAACTGAGATATCTAACTCCACATATAACTTCCTTAATGTAGCCGCCTTAGAGGAAATGTGCAAGTTTCCTCCAGACAACCACCTTTTGCCAAGGTTACTGTTTTTTGCTATGCCTGTCATCTTTACCCCCTCAAGATTTTTTCCCTCAAAATACGATGTTGATAAAATTTTGCAAGTTCTGTATGAAAGGGCACATTTCTCCATTGGAATCTCTGCAATTGCTAAGGTTTTGTGAATGAATGGTGTTGATTATTTAATGTGTTGCTCGGAATGGTTCCATTTGATATTAGGATCTTGTAGCGGTAAGTTTTAAAAACGGTGCTGCAGCAGGAGATGGAGAGTTTTGAATGAAACATCAGATCAAATTTTGAAGCTGGAGGGAGATTTCTACGCCAGCGCCTTCCGGCTTAAAAATTGACATCTTCCCCATGAAACAATAATCCCGCTAATTGGTAATTCCAACAGAATACGGGAAGGCCACTGGAAACCAAGCCACACTGGATCGAAAGTGGTGGAACAGGAAGTTAATGGTGGCGGTGACAGCGAACGATACTCAAGCGAAGAACTGCACTGATCCAGGTAAGAAGCACACCGCAAAGCTGTGGAAAGAGCTGATCTTTAATATCCTTCTCTTCAACATCTAACTCCTCTTAAAACAGTCATAAAATGTTGAACCGGATTGGATGCGGCTCTAACCGAATATATGCTGCCATAGTAACCACTTTTGTATGAAGATATCAAAGCCAGTGTGGTACTGCTTTTGTGCCGCTTGGGAGACTCAAGGCAACGTTTACTGCAGACAAGGATCTTTTTCAGTAGGAGATACACGCAGTTCCTGACTTTGTGCCTTTCCTGGTCTGTCCCTTAAGCTCCACAATTTGTTCAAAAAGACGCATGGGACCCTCTGATCTAATCTAACAGACTCTAACTGTCATTGATTAAGTGATTTACAAGTTAGAATTCTCCTTCCCTTGAATAACTTTTTTGGAATGATTCTGTGTTGCCTTGTGGAGTTTCCAGTTCATGTGGCTGTTTAATGTGGTGCTTCATATGCTCAATGTATGGTTACCATGACCCCTCTGTGGTAACACTATCGTTAGGACAGTCACTTGTCGCTTGAATACACACTACAAAGCACAGGTTTGTTTCAGGTTTCTGTTCAAGTGATTTTATGCTTGCTTTTTTCAATGTTATTTTGCCATTGAATGGGACATGATCCAGGCCTTTAAGATGCTGAAAGGATTATTGAACATGTGGCCTGGAGGGCACAGGTTTAAAAATAAGTAGCTTCAAGCAGAGTTAACAGGCTGGATTGTTTTTTTCTCTGGAGTGGTGACCTGATGGAGGTTTTCAAAATAATGATAGAGTAAGCACTTAGATTCCCCATAAGTAGAGACATCTAAAACTAGGGACCATATACAGCAATTAATCACACCAATCCAATAAGAAGCTTCTTTACTCAGGAAGTGGAATGTGAAATGTGCTAATTGTGTGTGACTGCATTAGTATTATTGATGTATTGAAGGGAGGCTAAATAAATACGTGCGGGAGAAGCGAATAAAAAAGAAATGTTGAAAATGGTGAGATGGTGGAGCACATGTGCCAACAGTATAAACCTTTTGCAGTGAATGATTTGTTTCTGTGCTGCAAACTTCGATGTAATAAAGCAGTGCAGGGAGATTCCATTAGAAGTGGTCGTTACAGGTTATTTAACCAGAAGCTGGATAAATTACGTGTTGGGATTAGGATTGCCAGCAAAGTGATACTTAACATATGTGATTAAATGCTACACAGGGGAAACGGGGCTGACTTTGTGATTATAAAAATCTGTACAGTTGATACAAATAATGAAATAGGTGGAGAAAATTTTTTGTCTATAATCGGCCCATTTGAATTTCGATCAATTTAAAAATCAGATGGGCATTGTTACCTGTGTCCTGTCTGCTCAGAACCCAGATGATACCTTATGCCCACATTGCAGAGCAGAGGAAAGCAGCTCCCAATGGTATCTGTGGCACTGCAATGTCGTTGGAAGCATGATGTTGTTCAAGGCTAGAATGCAATATTCAAGATATGGAGATAGGAGGATTACCTTTGGCAATTGAGAGATATATTATGCATTTTTTTTTGGGACCTTTGTGACAGGGGTATCAAAGGTGTGCACTCAATGGTATTTTCTGTATTCATGAATTCTAGCATACTTCTGCAACTTGACAATTAGAAATACTTCCTTGGATAATAGATAGGCAACAGTGAGATTCTCATCATTCCATGCTGAATTAAAACAAATTGTTTCTATATGAGAAGAGAGACCCAATTGGATTCATAGTATGTTTTGAAAATGTCCTGACAACATGTCAAAATCAAATCCATATTTTCAGATTCATCTGGAATTGTGCTTGAAATCAAAAATATAAAATGAGAAATTGTACATGATTTTATGTATAATCATATTCTGATGACTATAATGTCATTCTGATGACTATAATCTCCTTCTGTTCTTCAGAAGTGGACACAATATGAGCATGAAGATTATTGGTTTGCTATTTTGTAATAGTACACGGTATGTGCAACTCTAGCAGTTCATCACACCCTTTTGAATCTTATCAGGAGTTGCAATTTCCTTAGAATGGCCTCTCACATACAGCACAGTCAACCAGAAATGTTTGTGCAATTTATTGGAAAGGCAAAAAATCACAAATGTCAGTGAGTGTGAGGATGGGCAGCATTAAATCATGATAATCTCTGGCTGGAATTTGCAAACAGGACCTAAAGTTAACAGCACAATATTTAAGTTTGTGTATGTAATTACAGAAGGGCATTAATAAATTACAAATTAACAAGCAATTGGTAAATAAAGTTCAAAGCAGATAAATGTGAGGCAGTATACTATGGTAGGAAGAATACAGAGGTCACAAGGAAGATGCAAGTTTAGGTGGGACTGAGGAAGAAAGGAATCTTGGAGCACAATCACTTAAAGTTGTATCACTGATTAGCGAGGTTGTAATAAAAAGCAAACTAAGCACTAGGCTTTATTTAAAGAGGAAATGAAAAGTAGTGAAGTTATGTTAAACCTACATTCTGTTTGTCATGTTACAGAAATCGTATAGAAATGCTGGAGATGGTGTGGCAAAGATCCATTAGGATGATACCAGAAATGCATTTCAGGAAGGAAAGAACAGGTCTCGTTTCTTTTGTGAAAAGAAGGCTGAGGGATGAGCTATTTGAAGCTATGAAAGGTTTTATTAGTGTGGATTAAGAGAAGCTATGTTCCGCTTGTTGGGAAGAACATAAGTAGAGGCCATCCCTGTAAGACAGTCACTGACAAACTCAATGAAAAGAAACTCCTCTGTCCAAGGAGTGGTGAGAATGTGCAAGTATTGTGTGTGTAAACTTGAGGCAGTAATTATTTAAAACTAAATAAAAACTCAGAACTCACATTTTATTAAATTAATAAATTAAACTGGTTAAATTGATTAGTTTAAAAATTAAAAATAATCCAAATGAATTCATTACATAAAACTTAAATTTGTCAAATATATGAAACAATGTTGAACAGAGCTGACAATGCATCACATTTCCTGCACTTGGAGCATATGGGATGTCGTAGAGATCAGGAAGACCCTGAGCCACCACCACAATGGTACCTGCAACAAGATGTATTGAACTGGAGGCATCAATGCAGAAATTGCAATGTATCAGGGAAGGTAAGAGTTACTTGAACATTTTGATCCAGGAGATAGTCACATCCTTAGATTAGGTGTGGTTTAGATTTGGTTAGTGGTCAGAGACAAACAATGTGACAATGACTCAGGAAGATATGTAATGAAGAAATCCAGTATGCAGTTGTCCAACAGGTATGAGTACCTGCTACCATTTTCAATGAGAACAAAGGCAGAAGGGAAGACTGATAAATTGACCACAATATTCTGGTACTGGAGCCCATCCAAACAAGTAGTGCAAAAAGTAATATGGTGGCAGTGGAAAGTATAGTTAGATAATGTTCTTTTCAGCTTGTCTGAGACTCCCTAGGGCTGTTTTTGTTCATCCAATAACAGTGTTAAGAACATTTCCTCAGAGTTGGAGGAGGAGGATGATCACATTGCTGTGGTCCACACAGGAATGAACAACATTGGTAGGAATGAAGCTCAAGCATAAGAGTTTGAGGAGCTTGTTTACATATTAAGACCCCAAACCTCAAAAGTAATAATGTGTAGATTGCAACCTGAGCCATACAAATCAGCATAAAACAAACAATGAAAGGGTGTAAGAGTGGTGTGATTGGCAGGAGTTTTAAATCATACATAGTGGATGGATTTTTTTTATCTTACAGAATTCTCCAAATTTTGGAATGATCTTGTAGATTGGAAGGTGCTCGTTTTGGGAAATGAAAAGGTTGGTTCTTCAGTATGGTGCCCACTTAAACAGAGCTAGGTTCAGTATCATAGAGGATCAAATGGCTACAATGGTGGCTGGGCCTTTTTAAATAAATAAAGGGAGAGGAAGATTCAGCTAAGGGTAAAGTTATACCTCTGAAGAAGAAACAAAAGGAGAAATTGTGAGCTTAGTGGAAAAGAAAATGGCATACGTAAGGTTTAGGAAGCTGAAGACACAGTCCTTGAAGAATGAAAAAAAAGTAGGAAAAACTTGAAATCGGAGTTAGGAGGGTAAAAAGGTGCCATGAAATGCTTTTGATATATAAAGAATAATAGGGTACCTAGGGAAAGTGTAGGTCCACTCAATGACAAAGACCAAATTTATGCATGAAGCTGGAGAAAGAGTGAGGTCCTTAACGAATACTTTGCATTGGATTCATAAATGAGAAGGATACAGTGAATGGTGAGTCTAGAGAGGGCTATGTTGATATCTAGCTTGAAATAAAAGGAGGTGTTGGATGTTTTGAAAAGCATTAAGGTGGACAATTCCCCAGGACCTGTTGGGATGTATTCCAGAATATTGAGAGAGATGAGTGAGGAAATCGTTGGGGCCTGGTACAAAATCTTTCTATCCTCTGTAGTCACAGCAGAGCTCCCAGAGGACTGGAGAATTGCCAATGTTGTTCCTTTTTGTTTCCCTGTTGTGCAACAGGGAAAATCTGAGAAATTATAGGCCAGTGAGCTTTACGTAAATGGCAGGGAAATTATTGGTGAAGTTTCTTGGTACGGAATTTATGAACTTCTTGACAATAGGCAGCACGGCTTAGTTCAGGGAATGTCATGTTTCACAAGCTTGATTGAAGTTTTTTGAAGAAGTGACAAAGATGACTGATGATAGCAGGGCAATGGATATTGTCTACATGGACTTTAACAAGGCCTTTCACAAGATCCTTCATCGCAAGCTAATACAGAAGGTGAAGTCACATGGGATCTGTGGAGAGCTGTTAAAATGGATACAGAACTGGCTTGGTCATAGAGGTCAGAGAGTAGTTAAGTACCAGTCCGATAGAAATAGATTCTTAAGCAAGAATGTTGGAATTTCGGTTTATTTGAAGAGTGCTGCGGATATGTACCAAAATTGGTGAGTTGTCTGAGGCAGTTTGGGAAGTTAGATAACAAGATATGATGGTAAATGAACAATGG